GTAGCGTAGTAGTTACCAATCGGGCTGCCAATCTCACTGTCAGCAGTTTGAAACTACCAGCTGTTCTGCCGGAGAAAGATGAGGCTTTCTGTTCCCGTAAAGGTTTACAGCCTCGGAAACCCTGTACAGGGTGGTTATGAGTCAAAACCGACTCCATGACACATAACAACAACAACAACAACTGTTTGACCAGAAAGTGAGCCAGGAGGGTGAGTTCCTTTCTAGACCTGAAGAGTGACTAAGGGTCACAGTCTTAGGGGTGCCACCAGCATCAGGAAGGCTATTTTTCCCTTCTTTCTGGTTTTTGAGTTTTGTTGCACATTTCCCCCCGCACTCTCTCTAGGGCCTCTTACGTGATCCCTTTCTGAGCAGTTGATAGTGGTAGCTGGGCGCCATCGAGTTGTTTTGTCTCTGGGTAGTGGAGGCTGATGCTTGTGTGGTCCATCAGTCCATTGGATTAACTGTTTTCATGCATCTTCAATTTCCATTACTCCTCTTTGCCCCGGACAAGGAGAGACGAATCACTGCTCCTTAGATGGCTCCTCACGAGGTTTGAAGATCCCAGTCACTACTCCCTAAAGTAGAATGCACAATATTGTCTCTGTGAACTGTGTTATGCCAAGTGACCTTAGTGTACTTGAAGCTATGGTCCTGACCCTCCAGCCCCAGCAATTCATTCCTTCAAGGTGTTTGATTATCTCTAAGAGGTTTTCATAACTCTGCTCTCTGTCTGCTCCACCACATTCATGGATATATTCGTAGCGGAAGTAAATACACATTAGCAATGTCTTCTGTTAAACCTATATATGTGTATTTGTGGGTATAGTCCCCCTCTCTCTGCTTTCTGTTCATCATTTTTCTTTTCTTTAAATACATTTTTAAGATTTATTGTGGTAAAATTGATATAACGAAATTTTGCCATTTTAACTATTTTTAAGTATGCAAGTCTGTGACATTAATTACAGTCACCATTTTATACAACCATGATCACCACCTATTTCCAAAAGTTTTTCATCATCCCAAACAGAAACCCTAAATTTCTCAAGCAGTGATCCCCTAGCCTCCCCTCCAGTCAATCCTGATTCCCTGGCTGCCACCAATCTATGCGTGTGCTGATACATTTGACTGTCCTAGTTATCTCATATGGAGTCCTGGCGTGGCACTGTACAATAAAGCACTGGACCGCAGGGTTGGTGTGAAACACTATATAGGGTCACTATGAGTTGGAAGCAACTTGACAGCACTCAGCAACAACCGTTACTTCATATAAGTGGGATCACACGATATTTCTCTTTTATGTCTAACTGATTTCACTTACAGTAGCTCACCAGGCACTCCTCGGAAACCCTGTACAGGGTCACTGTGAATTGGAACAGATTCAGCAGCACTTAATAACAACAACACAATGTCTACACAGTTTATTCATATTATAGCTTAAATCAGAACTTCATTTCTTTTTATGGTGGAATAATATTCCGTTGTACATATATACTGCATTCTGTTTACCCATTTAACTGTGATAGACTTTTGGGTTGTCTACACCTTTTCGCTACTGTAAATAATGTTGCAGTAATCATTGTCATGCAAGTGTCTGTCGGAGACCCTGCTTTCATGTCTTTGGGGTCTATGCCTAGGAGTGAAATTACTGCTTAATACACTTTTCATTTTCTGATAGTTTTAGCATTGCAGCAAATGAAAAGTTAGACAATGACTACAGAGAATTCCCATATAGTTTCTACCCATTTTCCTCTAATAGTTAACAAATTACTCTGGTGCATTGGTCACAACTAATGAGTCAACATTACCACCACATCTTTGTTAAATGTCTAGCGACCACATGAGTGCCAAGGATAAAGCTGTCTTTGTTGTTGTTGTTAGGTGCCATCAAGTCAGTATCTACTCATAACAGCCCTGTGCACAACAGAATGAAACACTGCCCGATCCTGGGCCAACCTCACTACTGTCGCCACACTTGAGTCCATCCATGCTGCCACTCAGCCAATCCATCTTGTTGGGGGTCTTCCTCTTTTTCTCTGACCCTCCACCTTACCAAACATGATATCCATCTCCAGCGACTAGTCCCTCCTGACAATATATCCGAAGTATGAGAGACGAAGTTTGTCCATCCTGACCTCCAAGGAGCACTCTTAGATCCCTAATAAATCTTAGGTCCCCAAGTTGGGACCCAGAATCCCTCACTCAATGTTCATCAATGTTTTAGCAGACATGCATCAGTTTTCTTAGCAATACATACCCTGGTCTTACCCATGCAGCATCTAGGATACTGGTGGAATGTAATCCAGTCCAATGAAACCAATGTTTCTTGTGGGGCTCCTCTGTGTGAGGGACTGTGGAAGAAGGACACAAACATGAAGGAGACATCTCAAGACTTCCAGGAGCCATCTCTAGACTGCAGGACACAAGACACATTGATTTCTGAAGGAAGGTTCCAGGCTCACTGGGGCAAGTTTAGAGCAGAGGACCAAACACATGAAAGGTTGCTATTGGTAGAAACCACCCAGTCTGCTCCAACTCATTGCAAGTGTACGTTCAGCCTAGCAAAACACTGCCCTGTTGAGGGCGCCATCCTCGGTATTGTTTGTCATGTGTGAGCTCATTGTTACATCCAATGTGTCAGTCCATCTCATGGAGGGTCTTCCCTTTTTGCTGACCCTCCACTTTCCCAAACTTGGTGTCCTTCTCCAGGCACTGATTCCTCCTGATAACATTTCCAAGTATGTAAGGTATACTTTGGGCATGCTTCTATGGCGCATTCTGGCTGTGTTTCTTCCAAGACAGATTTGTTCATCCTTCTGGCAGTCCGGAGCTACTTTCCAATATTCTTTGCCAACATCATGATTCAAACACATCAATTCTTCTCCAGTCTTCCTTATTCATTGCCTAGCTTTCACATGCATATGAAGTGATTGAAAATACTGTGGCTTGGGGTAGGCACACTGCAGTCTTATTTCAGAATTTCAAAGACCACAGAGGTTTGTCGTTTCCTGTGAGAACAAAACAAGCACCAATGCCTAAGTGTTTGACAGACATTTTCAGGTCAGTGGAAAAGGACTTCAAGTCCTTCCTTGGAACCTAGGAAGCAGATTCTCTTCTGGGCAAAGAATTTTAGGTAGTCTAAGGAGCTCTGGTAGCGTAGTGGTTACGAATTGGGCTGCGAACCTTAAGGTCAGCAGTTCGAAACTACCAGCCGCTCCGCGGGAGAAAGATGAGGCTTTCTACTCCCGTAAAGATCTACACCCTAGGAAACCCTGTACAGGGTCGCTATGGGTCGGAACCGACTCGATGGCACTTCACAACAACAACAAGGATAAAAATGCAAATTTTGCTTTGGAAAAAAATTCCAAAATCTGAGTTTTACTCAATGTTGCTTTTTATTTGTCTGCATTCATAGGGCCCATTTAAAACCCACTGGTGCCAATTCATGGTGTCACACATGAATCGTGTGACAACAACCTCCATGGACATCCTTCCTATATTTCTGATCTTGCTCCATCAGATTTTCATCTGTTGGATTCCCTGAAAACAGTCCTTCAAGGACAAAGAGTCACCTCTGATGGAGAAGTGAAGACAGTGGTGTAGTCATGGCTCTCAGCTCAACCTAAAACATTTGTAAATAAGGGAACACGAAAGCTTGCTGAAAAATGGACAAGTGTATTGAAAAGCAAGGAGACTGTTTTGAAAAATAGTACATTTGTCTTATTAAAAAGTTGATTAAAATAAATTCTATAGCCAGAGTGCAGATCATTTTTTACTCACCTTCGTGTGTGTGTGTGTGTGTGTGTGTGTGTGTGTGTGTGTAAGCAGGAACTGAAAATGGAAACAGCTACACAGAAATTTTTTACTCAGGATATTGCTACACATTAAAAATTGTAATGTTATGCAGAGCTGGAGACTGTGGAAAACCCAGAACTTTCATATATAGTTGAGTTAGAGTGTGAGATTGTTCAATATTCTGAAAAGCATTTGTCAGTCTATTAGCACAACCACCTCACTCTTAGGGATCTAGCATACTCTTATGTAAGCAAAAGAATAATTCATTGTCAACAACTATGCCCACAGATCAAAACTCACATATATCCAAATGACATGACTATAAAGGACGTATGTAAGAACGTTAGGTACAAATGTGTATATGAAAAGAAATATTGGGGAAAGCCTAAATAGCAATACTGGGTGGATGAATAATCCATAAAACATCTGAAGTAAAGGATTTTATGCAGCGATTTAAAAGACTTCCCAGATTCATACTTCGTACATTCCATGGTCTGATTTTCAATGGATGTTTACAGCTGTTTCTCTTCATTTTGAGTTGTGCCCCATCAGCAAATGAGGTCCCGCGGGCTCTTCTCCCACAGGCTTTACTCCATTCGCATCATCATGGTCAACTTTACTTAGTCCATCACTCCTTCTTCCTAGTCTGTCTTCGTCTGGAAGCTCATCTGAAACCTGTCCACCATGGGTGACCCTGCTGGTATTTAAAATACTGGTGGCATAGCTTCAGAATCACAGCAACTCACAAGCCACCACTGTATGACAAACTGACAGACTAATGGTGGTGGATTTCATTGATACATATATATAAAATTCTGCTGAAACACTGCAAAATGTATATATAAACACCCTGTCTGTCAGTGTCACCTGATACTGTTTGCCCGCCCCTAGAATCTTGTGATGGAACACCCCAAAAAGGTTGCTTAATTGTCTTGTTTCTAAACTCACAGTACAAGACTGGGCAAGATGTCTGTGTGAAGCAAAGATCAAAAGCTACTCTTGTTTGAGAAGCATACAGAAATAATCTCAAATACTACTCATTCATGATTATCTCTATGGATGAATCACCGGCAGGCAGTGCATGTGTCTTTGTAGATGGGTGGAGGAATACACGCCCTCTCTTGGGGCAGGTTTTGTGCCTGTACTTCCGCTAACTAAGTTTAGAATCCAAGCAGCAAGTTGCAAGTAGCTCTGGACCGCAATTACAGATGGCACCTGCAATTTTGAGGGGCTTCCTTCCTCTGTGTGTGTGTTTCCTGCTGACATCTGACTTTGTCTCCACAGGCAAGCTGCTGGTCGTACCCATGGATGGGAGCCACTGGTTCACCATGCGTGCCGTTGTGGAAAAACTCATCCAGAGAGGGCATGAGTTGGTTGTAGTCATGCCAGAGGTGAGTTGGCATCTGGACAAATCCTTCAACATCACAATAAAGACCTATTCAACTTCTTACACATTGGAGGACCTGGATCGGGAGTTCATGGTTTTGGCCAATTCTCATTGGAAAACTCGGGACTTGAATTTACTTTCTGTATTAATGAATCCAAACTACACCTTGTTCGATTACTATTTTTCACATTGTAGGAGTTTGTTCAATGACATAAAATTAGTGGAGTTCATAAAGGAGAGTTCTTTTGATGCAGTGTTTACGGACCCTTTTGATCTGTGTGGCTTAATTGTTGCCAAATACTTTTCACTCCCCTCTGTGGTCTTCACTAGAGGACCATTTTGTCATTATCTTGAAGAAGGTGCCCAGTGCCCCAGTCCTGTTTCTTATGTTCCCAGAGGTCTCTTAGGCTTCTCGGACACCATGACCTTCAGAGAGAGAGTAAGGAACCTCATCTTCCACTTGGAGGAACATTTATTTTGCCGCTATTTTCTCAAAAGAGGTGTGGAAATTGCCTCTGAGATTCTCCAAACACCTGTGACAGCTTATGACCTCCACAGCCACACATCAATTTGGTTGTTACGGATGGACTTTGTCTTGGACTACCCCAAACCTGTGATGCCCAACATGGTCTTCATTGGCGGCATCAACTGCCATCAGGGAAAGGCATTGCCCAAGGTAAGTTACCTCTCCATTCGTCCATAAAGAAGCATCTGCCTGTGCGCATTAAGATAATAATAGCAATAAAAACAAAGACTCCTCACTGAATCAGGACTTGCCATTTACATGCATCACATTTGTCATTTCTTTCTGGTATAATGACTTATTTTATGCCAATTCTTTTCCTTGTGGGTTGACAAATTCCATAAAATGCTGCCCATACATATATATGTGTATATGTAGATTACTGGCGACCTTACAGGCTGCAGTTTCAACAATACTTGTATTTGAAAAGCACACTAAAAATGAAATTGGTGTTTTCGCTGACTCTATACCACTTCCCATAGGAAAATGCTCTGAAGGGATATTTCTGGAACGATTTAATATATTTATGCATACATAGAATGCAATTTTCACATCCATTTTAATAAAATGAAATCTGGACTTGGGTTGGACTTACTGTTCTTTATCTTGCATTTTTCACTTGCCAATAAATTGTAGATCTCTTTGAAAGTGCAGCTATATGAATCTAGCAAGGTCTTTTAAATCACTGCATAAAATCTTTTACTTCAGATGTTCTATGGTTTATTCATCCACCCTGTATTGATATTTAGGCTTTTTCCAATATTTCTTTTCATATACACATTTGTACCTAACATTCTTACATATGTCCTTTACAGTCATGTCATTTGGATATATGTGAGTTTTAATCTGTGGGCATAATTGTTGACAATGAATTATTCTTATACTTACGTAAGAGGTAAGAGTAAGCTAGAGCCCTGAGAGTGAGGTGGTTGGTTGTGTTAAATGGTCTGTACCTATGACATTTAATAGGCTGACAAATGCTTTTCAGAATATTGAACAATCTCACACTCTAACTCAACTATATATGAAAGTTCTGGGTTTTCCACAGTCTCCAGCTCTGCATAACATTAAAATTTTTAATGTGTAGCAATATCCTGAGTAAAAAAATTCTGTGTAGCTCTTTCCATTTTCAGTTCCTGCTTTCTCTCTCACACACACACAAAGTTGAGTAAAAAATGATCTGCACTCTGACTATAGAATTTATTTTAATCAACTTAAAAAAAAAAGACAAATGTATTATTTTTCAAAACAATCTCCTTGCTTTTCAATACACTTTGTCCATTTTTTTAGCAAGCTTTTGTATTCCCTTATTTACAAATGTTTTAGGCTGAGCTGAGAGCCATGACTACACCACTGTCTTCACTTCTCCATCAGAGGTGACTCTTTGTCCTCGAAGGACTGTTTTCAGGGAACCAAACAGATGAAAATCTGATGGAGCAAGATCAGAACTATAAGGAGGATACTGTAATACCTTGTAGAGTGTCAACAGTGTGGGCAGAGGTGTGTGGATGTGCATTATCATACAAGATCGCAATGCCCTTGGGTAGCAGTCCTCTGCATTTAATACGAAGTTTAGACTTCAGCTCTTCAGTGAGCTTCTCACTGTGATGAGCACTGTTGATTGTTGAACATTTTACCTGATAGTGTTACAATACTGACCCTTGAGAATCACAGAAAACTGTAAGCATCAATTTCCCAGCTATGGCTGACTTTTGAATGTTTTCTTGGTTAGTGATTGAGGATGTTTTCGATTCCATACTCTGCCATTTACTCTCAGGCTCATAGTGATGAATCCGTGTCTTGTCATCAGTAACCACTTTTTAAAAGAAACTTGTACCCTCCTTCGAGTGTTGGCCCAAATTTTCTTTGCAAATGTCCAAACGCTTCTGTGTATGCTCTTCCATGATTCCTTTCTGTACCCATTTCATACTAACGTTCCTAAACCCAAGTCTGTCATGGATTATTTCATAGGTGGAGCCATGGTTGATTTGCAAATGATTTGCTTCATAATCCACTGTCAGCTCTCTATTCGACAGAATTATTCCACATTGTACGCTCAATGTTATCATCAGTGATGGATGGGCATTTTGGTATAACAATGGTGTGGATAATTTTTGACTCTTGTGCACACACACGTGTGTATGTGTATATGTATATATGTCATTTGCTGTTTCTCCTTTGTGAGTTACATGTTCACATTCTTCAATTATTTTATTGGGATGCTTGTCTTCTTGTAACTAACTAGTATATGTGAATCTACAAACCACTTGCTGAGTTGATTTAGACTGATAGTAATTCTATAGGTAAGAGTAGAACTGCCCAATAGGCGCTCCAGGTTGCAATCACGTGGAAGCAGATGACCTCATCTTTTTCCCATGGAGCAGTTGGTGGATGTAAATTGCTGACTTTCTGGTTAGCAACCAAACACTGAACCACACTGCCACCAGGCTTAGGAACAGCACCACTTAGATTTTATATGTGCTACAAATAAATTTTTACAACGATTTTTAATCTTTGGGTATCTTTTGTCAGGCAGAACTTTTATTTTGAGGTTGTCAAATTGGTTAACTTTTCTCCGAGTGATTTTTCTGTTTCAAGTTGTTTAGGTTTTTTTCAAGACTATGCAAATAGTTTCCAAGCCTGCATAAAGGTTTTCTCTGTATTTTGCTGTAATGCTTTTAAATTCATCCAGTACTAATTTCTTTACTATTTACTATGGCAACTTTTTACCTATGAAGTGTAAGGATATAAAGTTTTTTCTAAATAGATACCAATCATACCCGTACCATTTAATTTTTTTTAAATCCCATTTTTAATTCATTAAACCAAAATGCATCTTTATTATATTTAAAATTTTTATCTTGATTTACTTTTTTTGTTCTTTTTGCTTCTGAACTATAGGGAGGATACTTAGTTGTAGTGCACCGATCTATTGATCTATTGTGGTGCCTGCGCCGTACCGCTGTGATTATAGCACCTTGTAGTAGGTGTTAGGATCTCTCATGGCACGTCCCATACTCACTATATATTTTTTATAAACTTTTGTGGCAGTTATGATTTATTCTCCCACATAACTCTTAACATTAATTTCAGGAAAATAGTTATCTTTTTTTTTTAAGTTTTTATTGTGAATTGAGTGATAGTTTACATGGGATAACATCAGTTTTACACTCATCTTATCATATTCGGTTCACTGAAATGATTGCAATCATATTCGTTTCATTGCAATGATTACAATCCCCTGTATACTTCATCATTCAACAGTATTTGCTTCTATTCCCTCTGCTTTTTTTTTTTTTGGGATGTGCACCAAAACACTCAGGAATATACAATCATTCAAACAGTCAAGCTTACATCCCGGCCACGAGCACACATTCTCTCTCCCTCCATGAGTCTAGAGTCCTCAGCTGCTCCATCTCTCCATGTCGTCATCTCTGCCTCCATCTCTGGTATCGCTGCTTCTTTGGGTAGGGTCCCACACTCTGCTCCCACTCTTCTCCTTTGATGGTCCCAGGGTCCTCTGCTCTGGGACTGTAAGATCGATCAATCACCTCTTTTTGCTACAAGACTTCTACCTTTACAGTTGCAACAATCACAATTAATCATGATAACAATTACTCACTTTTGAGTCATGAGAGTCTTGTCCCCATCTCTTTTCACCAGATCTGTCTAGACAGAATGAAAACCACTCAGTGGGGATTCTACCTTCCCCTGCACACTCTGAGTCTAAACTCCCTCTTGGAAACTTGTACGTGGGTCCCTTCATGCCTTTACACACACACACACACACACACCCTCCCATTTTAGGTAGCCAATGTCTAAGTTGCCCATCCCTATCAATCCTGTGTACAGAGGGAAAGGGAATGATCCTTGCTGTAAAGATTCTTTCCTTCTTGGTTGGCATTTTAAGCTACTACATCCATAAGTATAAGTCAAGTTCATCAGATTGTAGCAATTTACACTTGTTTTCTTTTTAAAACAACAAAAAATATCGCCCCTCCTCTTTTCCTTCCTCTAGTCAGATTTTGCACATCCAGCCACTGAAGCTAGGTCCAATGGGCTCTATCTGCAAATTGGGCACCTTGTGCATATTCCCTCACTTCATATCAACTAGATGCTTTGCTCTCAGCTCTAGCCCTCCTTGGCCATGTCCTTGTCCATGGGCTCAGGAGTCCCCAGGTCTCATCGTACTTCAAGCCAACGACCTCTGTGTAACTTGGTTGGACTCTGCCCACCTCTTCATTGCTGCTTTACCCCCACTTCCTCACACCAGTAAACCCACATATTCATCAGCAAGCTTAC